TAAAAAAGGTGAGAGAGGAGACAACTTTCCCATCCACAGACAGGTGCAGAAGCAATTGGTTGCCTACTCAGCATCCACTCTCCTGTCTTCTTCCTAAGAGAGTCCTGCTTTTGTTTAGGTCTCCATCCTCTGTGTGAGCATGTGTTTCAGGGGAAGCTGCCCTATCACCAAATACAAGGGGTGAGTCATGGATGGTCTAAGTCATCATGGGGATCCCATTATTCTCACCCTTGGTTGCCTTAGACATGAGCAGATGACATAATTTTGGCCAATCAAATATGAAGAAGTTTATTGGAGGGTGTTCTGGAAAAGGTTTCTCTACTTCTGAAAAAAAGCTAGAGAAAAACACCTGAAGAGATCTATGACATCCTCTCCCAGGAAATGGAGGGAGAGGCAGTATTCATACTTCTGGTATTAACTATTTACTGTGCCAGTGTTCTTACTAGATGTTTCCATAAATGATCTTCTATGCTCAGAACAAAATGGCAAGGTAGGTTTTATTCTCACTCACAGAAGAGGAAACTGAGACTCAAGAGTCCTTCAGCTAGTAATTGGTAGTCACTCAGCTAGTAATTGGTAGAGCAAGGATGCAAGTCCCAAAACACATGGTTTCAAATTTATCATGCTTTGTGTTCTATATTTTCACATCTGAATAAATAGTGGTTGTGTTAGTCAGTCTCCAAAAGTATGTTCCCCTCTGTGTCCTCGACTGGGATCAGGTTCTGAGTTTGCAGCGACCTGTGCCCCAAGAAGTTTGCCCTGGGAGTCACGTGGTCCCTTCAGATGACATCTCAGTCTGCTAGTCCTCTGAAATGGCAACAGCCTAGAGGTGCGCCTGTGGTCAGGGAGGTGTAAATCTTTCTATGTTGCTGGCTTTGGGGACATGAGTGGGAGTGTCCTTTTGTCGGTCTGATGTCTTGCTGTCAACGTTGAATCGTTTGGAGATTCTGAGTTAACAATCCATCATAACAAATGGGAGAAAATACCAAGTGATAGTTACTTTGCAAAATTTCAGCAATTGGTTTGTTTGCTTTCTTGGATGAATTAACTTAGCTGACTGGTGTGAACCCAAAAGTATTTCTTTTAGGAAAAGCCATGCAAATAAATCCCTTCCAACAAAGATAAAAACACCTGCTTTACCAGGGTTGTAGTAAGAACAATGGCTTAATGTCACTAGTACAGTTTCTGTCATGTCGTAAGAAATAGAACATGCCAGTTCTCTAATTCCTCTTTGCTTCCTTCAAACTTTGCTCCATGATCATCTCCATGAGGCCTTCCGTGACTGTTGTCATCACCCTTATCCTCCTTCTCACCTTGCAAATACTACTTAATTTACTTATGTAGTATGTCTATTGTGTATTATCTCCTCCTGCTACAATGCAAACTCCTCAAAGGCAGAGACTTTTGTCTCTTTTGTTCAATGACATACACAGTGGAACCTCGGTTCTTGAACTGAATTCTTTCTGGAAAAGTGTTCGAGAAGTGATTTGTTAAAAAAACTGAATCTCCTCTGTCACCTGAGAGACATATGACTGATCATACAGGTATCATCACGAAAGGGCTGTTGGGTAGAAAATCAAGACTCTGAAGTTTTGTTGGATAACCGAGACATTTGTTTATGAACTACTTAGTCGAGAATCAAATGGTTTGAGAACCAAAATGTGTGAGGACAGAGGTTTTGTTCCTGGGAGACAGCCTCTCCAGAGTGCCATGGGAATTTCCTCCATCAGCCAAGTTGGCAGCAGGGGGAGGTTCTCACATGGAGCACCTGAAAGGCTAGCAAGATAATTGGAGAGAGGAAAAAGCCTTTCTCTCCAACTTCTGGTACCAGATTGAAGGGGATACCAGGGGAAGGCAGGCACACGCGCCACGGAAGTAAAAATGGCCCAGGGGAGGTGTGGACCAAAGAGGGTGTCAGTCTAGCCTGGGGAAAAAGGGATTGGTTGAGAGGCGGACCCACCCAAAGCATATGAAAGTTTGGGAAGTCAATTGGTCATTTTGAGAAAGCACCTGGTCCATCCCACACGCAAGCTAATACAATCCCACGGGAATACAAAGGGGTGGCTCTCTCTTGCTCATGGCATGCTGGCTCTTGACCTGCACTTGCAAGACAAACTCATTCTCCTGTTCTCTCCATGGGCCATGTGGCCCATGGGAGGGAATTTCTTTCTCTCTCTGTCTCTCTCTCTCTCTCTGACCTGGTGATGCATTTGCCAGTGTGTGCATGTGCTCTCTCCCAGGGGTACATGACCTTGAAGACTCCTTAGCAGTCACCTGTGGGCTTCAAAGAAGTTACTTTAAATTGGAGCAGGAACTCTGGACCCTGGCTTTTGTCTCGGTCTTGCTGAGGGGTTGGGCTTTGAGACAAGAGTCTGCCATTCTCCCTGATCATGCAGCACCTGAATAAAAACTCTTTTCTTTTACACCAGTATCTGCTTCATGAGTTTGGCTTTTGTGGTGAGAGGCAGCTGACCCTTCATTTTCTTTGTGTGTTTGTTTTGTTTGGCAAGAGCGTGACTGTACAAAGTGTTTAGAACAGTGTTTGGCACCATACCGAGTGCTTGATAAATACCGTTGGACAAGACAAACCCGTTCTTGCAGGTGGTCTAAGTTCTCTGAAGTGGGTTGGGCAGGTCACAAAGAAGCAGAGGATCTGCATTAGCTGTGCAGTGCCTCCCAAAAAGGCTTTCACTGAATCCCATCTAACATCACATCATGCTCACAGTTTCTAGGAATCATCAATACAAGAATTAGCTAGAGAAATATTTTTGCATTGTGCAAACACTGCTAATTCTGTTATTCAGTGTCATTTTTCAAAAAAGAATTATTTTAGAATTTAGTACTAAAACCAGACTAATTTCCTTCTTTTATTCTGATTAAAAATCTTCCCAAACCATCTTATAGTCTATTTTTTTTTGTCATGGCTGCTCAGAACATTGGAGGTCAATTTAATTCTCAGAGCATTGACTGGCTTGCTTCGGTTTCTAGTTGTAGTTATTTACTCTTATTTTATAGGTTTTGATGTCCAATTTAGGCAAAACACACTTAAAATCTATCTATCTATCTATCTATCTATCTATCTATCTATCTATCTATTTATCTATCTATCCATCCATCATCTATCAGTATGAGGTTCCTAGAGGTGCTGAAATGAATTACTACAATCTGGGTGTCTTAAAACAACAGAAATTTTCTCTCTCACATTTCAGAAAGTCAAAAGCCTGAAGTCGTAGTATCAGCAGAGTGGGTTCCTTCTAAAGACTCTGAGGAAGAATTTGTTGCATGTTTGCCTTTTAGCTTCTGTTTTAGCTTCTGGTGGTGGCTGCCAATCCTTAGCCTTCCTTGGCTTGCAGATGCGTCACTCCAGCCTCTGGCTCTGTCTTCACATGGTGCTTCTTCCCTGTGTGTGCCTCTACACATGGCTTCTTGTAAGGGGACACCAGCCACTGGATTTAGGGCCTCATCCAGCACAGCCTCATTTTATCTTAAATAATTGCTTCCAAAAGGACTGTATTTCCAAAGACGGGTACATTCTGGAGTTCTGGGTAGACATTACCTTTGGGGGACATTATTCAACCCAGTACACTACCAGTATCACACTGGCTTTACGTTCTTACCTTTTGCTTCCCAACTACTCAGACATGTTGCTTGGTTTCTCTGGTTCATTTATTCCACAGTTACTTACTGAGTGCCCACTATAGTCTAATGAAGGAGAAGTACACTAACAAATAATAATCTGATGAAATATATATTAACAAATAGTAAAGTTTATCACTTATAAGTGCTATAAAATAATGTGAGATACAAGATTTTAAAGGGAGATATGATTCAGGTTGGATCAGGAATAATGGCAGGCTCTGAAGAAGGGAGATTTCAGGTGGGAGTTTGTAATGAGAAGGCACTAGCTGGGTAAGTGTCAAGGGGAGGGTATTGAAGGAGGAGGAGGCAACAGCACATGCAGAGACCCCAAGGCAAGGAAGCCACCTGGAAATCGCTATGTAAAATGACTGTTGTGGCCCGGTTGTCATGATCCAGGAGAAAGCAGGAGGAGACGAGGCTGAAGAATTAGGCAGGGTCACACCCCACAGGGCACCGTGAACCATGTTTGGTATTTCAGTCTGTTCCCTAATGAACATGGGAGGCCACTGCAGGCTTCCGGGCAGAAGAGCGATCTGCCGTGTAGAAAACAAATTGAACAAAGGCAGGAATGAAAACAGAGATGCCAGGGAGGAGACTCTAACCGTGGTCTGGGTGAGGGATAATGGCTTGGGCTAAAGTGATGACTGTGGAGATGGCAATAACTGGGCACATTTGAGACAGCGTTCATAGAAAGAAAAGAGAAGATATGGCTTGTTGATGGATGTAGAAGGTGAGGCATGGGAGGCATTAAGGATCCCTGCCAGTTTCTGGAATGAGTAACAGGTACCTTTACAAAGACATGAGGCACAAGAGGAAGAACACATTTAGGAGAGAAGATCAGGGGTTCGGTTTTTGACAAGTTAAATGTGAGATGCCTGTAGGATAGTCAAGTGGGGATGTCAAACAGGAAACTCGATATGTGGTCCAGAACTCAGGAGAAGAGTCAGTGTTGAAATACATGTTTGGGGATTGTTGGCAAATCCAGGCTATTTGAAGCCATTATTGTTGACTTTAGATTTTCCCTTTCTTTTAAATGTCAGGCTGACCTTGTGCTGGTTTATTTGGCTACTTTTTTAAGTGCCTGAGCTCTTGCGGCTCTTGTTACACCTTTTGGTCTTCTGTCTAATCATCCAATTTCTGGCTCACTTTGCAGGTTTCTTTGTAATTACATCGTAAAGGCAGAGCATTGCAATACAAAGAAGTGGGTTCTAATTATGTGTGTGCCTTGGGCAAATCCCTTAGGATCTCTGGGTATTAGTTTCACATCTATAAAAGGGAATTGGTTGTTTTCAGTTTTTTAAAAAGTATTCTTCATGGTAACGCTATACAAAGCACTAATGTCATCCACAGTTTTCCCTTACCTCGGTGACAGCAAAGCTTCTCTTGCCACAGGGAACCACCTTGTACCACTTGTCGTGCAGCACATCCATAAACCCGTGGGACTTGTATTGACTGATTAGCTCGGATATATTGGAGGTCAGCAGAGAGTTGGGTGGGAGCCCAATGCCGTATCCTAGGAGAAAACATAATCTCAGATGAACTTTTCACCTGAGAGGTTCCCAAGAGGTTGCTACTACCCTCATGTAATATTGCCACCAGGCCTGGTAACAAGGGTGTGGTGAACTCTCACCATCTGGCCCTCAAAGGACTCAGAGATACTCAAGGTATGCTTACTTTAGGTCTGCTGCCTCTCTGAGTAGCTGAGATGAGTCTGGAAAGGAGAGGAATGGGCTGGGCATAGTGTGCGGGTGGGACATTGTTTTCCACTGGATCCTGTGCCTCCTTTCAACATATTTCTTAGAAATCATCTTTGAGGTGTCTACCAGGGCTAGGATTCCCTATCCATCTCTCCTAGGACCCTTCCTCTAGGCCTTAGGTGCACAAAAGCAGGTTATAATCATCGTGTTTGGCTTGTGACATACTCTCATCACTGGTCATGCATGGCCCTGTTTACTTTTATTTCATTTATTTTTAAATAATAAGACCACGTAAACATATACTATAGCATAAGAACTAAAATACCATAAAAGTTTATAATAACAAACTTCAATTATTGAGAAAACAAATCTGGTAGTACCAAGTGTTAGAGAAGATATAGATCACTAAGATGGCTTACCTATTGCTTGTGGTCATGCAAACTGATATAAACACTTTGGAAAACCACTTGCTGTTTCAACTATACATTACTTTCTGTATAGTTGAATGGTTATATACTCTGCGACCAATAATTTTTAGTGTGTTCCCAAAGAACTCTTCCACAAGCACACCAGGAGACAGGCATGAGAATGTTCTTAGAGTCACCTTTCACAGCAGCAAAAACTGGAAACAACTTGAATATTCTTTGACAAGAGAACAGGTAAATAAATTGTGGAATATTTACACAACTGGAATATTATGTGGTGTGAAACATATGAGCTAGAACTACATGGAATAATACAGATGCCTCTTAGCAATCAGATATGGAGTGAAAAAGATCAGTCCCAGAAGATTATAGCACGGATCCATTGTGTAAATGTAAAAGCACTCAAAAAGGAAACAATATATCTCTAGGAATTCACATGTAAGTGATTGAAATATATTTAGAAAAAAATCAAGGAAATGATAAACCAGGAGTCCAGGATAGTAGTTACTGAAGGGAAGGGAATCAGGGGAAATGATGAGGGAGGAACAGAAAGGTGGATGTAATTTGTTGTCAGTTTTATTAATCAGCTTGAACCCTACATCACCGCTCTGCGTGCCTTTATTTGCTTTCCAAACTGTTACCGCACTGTTAATCTCTTTGATGAGCCATGTGAAAGAGCTAATTACCTGCATTTTATCTTTAGCTATTGGATAGCAGAGTCAAGAAAAAGATGTTTTGCCCTCAAGGTGATTGAGGAAGATAAATGAAAAATATAGTTACTTCCTAAAAGGCTGTCATGAATCCAGAGATGTTTACTGGTGACAAATACATGTTCTAACTACTGTATCTTATAATTTATTTTCAAGGAAATTAGTTTTTTTCCTTTTTATTGCAAATACATAAATTACACAAATCCTCCTTTAAAAAAAGATGAGGCCCGAGATGTGCATATAACCAATAAAAGACATAAATAATGCAGACAAATACTTGAGTTTTAAAGAGCTGCATGTTTTCTTTTCCCTGATAATTTTGTTTGTCCCTTAACAATGGCAAGTCAAGGAATTGATGACAAATGTCAAGAGCGTGCTTAGAATTTTCCATACAAAAAGTTATTTTGAGGGCCTGTTTTGTGCCTGTTAGTTTTGGATTGAAAGGCAAGGCTGACAATAGAAGGCTTTACATGGGCAGCCTGTTCTTCTGCTGATGTTATCATTAAATAACATTTTTTTTGTAATGAGTATAAGGACGTAAGTGGTTTCCTTTAGAAACATTTCTTCTAATGTATGCTATTGACAGTTCAGTTGCACACACATTTATTCGGTACTTTTGTACGTGCCAGGCACAACCTTAGGCATGTGTTTGATGATATTCACTGACTAACTGATTCACTCATGCATTCATTCACTCATTCGTGCACTCAACAAATATACTGAGTGAACGGGCACAGTGTTGAGTGGTCGGGATCTAGCAGGGAACAAAGCAGGTGTGGTCCTTGCTGTTATGGTGTTATCTGTCTCTCTTAGGGAGACAGATATTTAAAAATGCACTAAATAATGATTATTTCATTACAAATGAGGTAAGTGCCATGAGGAGGAAGAACTGGGGCATATAAGAACATACAGTAGGAGGACTTAGAACTCTGGTGGGTTTATGGTCAGGATAATTAGGCCAAACCCTGGCTGGTGTGGCTCAGTAGATTGTGTGCCGACCAGTGAACCAAAGGATACCTGGTTCAATTCCCAGTCAGGGCACATGCCTGGGTTGTGGGTCAGGTCCCCAATAGGAGGAGTGCAAGAGGCAACCACACATTGATGTTTCTCTCCCTCTCTTTCTCCTTCCTTTCCCCTCTCTCCAAAAATAAGTAAAATCTTTAAAAAAAAGATAATTAGGTCAGGCTTGCTGCATACTACTGTATTTTTACTAATACATTATGAACTATTGTATTATAAAAAATATAGTCATATTCAGCCCCTGTGGCAATAGTTTTCAATAACAACAGCAGCAACAACATCTAATATTTACTGGGGGCTTAAAATATACCAAGTCCTAATCTATAATAAAGTGTTTACATACCTTACCCCATTTTGTAGATCATGTACTAAATGAAGATTGTGTTTTCAAGTGTGGCCTATGGTTCAGTTAAATCACTCTGGGATTCTAATAATAAGAACCACAACATACTGAGCCCTACTGTGTGCCAGACACCATTCCACATGTGTTTAATTTCTTTATAAACCCATGGAGAATATGTATTACTCAGTATTAAAGACCGGATAAATAAATTACCCAAGGTCACACAGCTCATAGTTGGCAAAGCTAGCATTTGAGAGTAGGTCTGTTTGAATCCAAAACCAGTGCTCTGCCCACTGTATCTAGTGGAGCACGTGACCAGGTCAAGGGACTACCTGACTTACTTCTGTCCCTCCAGTGAAGGCCCTATCACTGGGTCATACTGATGGAACCCCCCAAACAAGGCGGCTCAGTAAAAAAACAGTTACCTAAGCTGGTGGTTTGTTTTCAACAGCAGAAGAATCTATATTATCAAGAGCAGATTTTTACTTACCAATTTTTCATTAAGTTGCGTAAATACAGTATAAGTATAGCCCTAATTGGCATATATATGTGTGTGTGTGTGTGTGTGTGTGTGTGCAGGTTTATCATATATACATATGTGAGAAGATTAACTAGCAAGGATGCTCCCTAACTATTATTCCTCCTAAAACATCTCTTAAATTTTTCCAACCCGCATTAGTGTAATAATGACAGAATTGTTTTCATTCGTTTTTCACTCGATAAGCATTTGTTGCACCCTTATGCACCTAGTCATTAATTCTACAAACATGTATTGAGTGCTCAGTCTGTACCAGGCACTCTGTCAAGTCTATGGAGGTTGCCAAGTGAAATCAGGCCCTGAGTGTGCCCTTGAGGAGCTCCTTGTCACCTGGGGAGATGAGGCATGCACACGTAACTGCACCGCATGGAGGGAAGTTACAGGACTTTTCTTGGGGAAAAAGATAGGTGAGGTGTCAGTTCAACAAAGGTAAAGTTTAATGACTAGGATGTAGTAAGGAGGATGGATAAGACTCTGTTGAGTTCAGAGGGATGCCAGATTGCTACCAGAGGAGAGGATGAGAGAAGACATTTTGGATTGATTCTTATAATGGTATTTTGGGTGGATGAGACAAAAATATGTGATAAGAAATTTTAGGAATCTAAAATTAACACTTATAATAAATCTACAGATTCTAAGAATCGAATTTTGGCACTACAACAGAAGTATAAAAATTGCCCCAGAGGAAAAGCCATGTTGAAGTTGCAGAGACATTTATAAAAAAATGCTACATAGGAAATAATAAATATTAAATCACTCCACTCCATCATGTCAAGGTTCAGTTGCAATTAACTGCTAAAAATATATCACTGTCCTTTTTAACTTTCTATTTTAATGCATATATTGAGAATTGGCATTTTAATGATTTTAGCATTAATAATAATTATTAGCTAATTAAAGCAAACTATGCATGTGAAATAAGGGGAGAAATAAGAAAAATGTTATGTGGCAATGAGAAGAGGTATTTGTTAAATTACAAAAATCCTATTTTATTCAGAAACATAAAATAGTAAAGCTTTGCCCTGGCTGGGTGGCTCAGTTGGTTGGAGCATCAACCTGTCTACCAAAGGTTGTAGGTTCGATTCCCAGTTAGGGCACATGCCTAAGTTGTGGTTTTGATCCCTGGTTGGGGTGCTTAGAGTAGGCAACCAATTGATGTTTCTCATTCATACTGATCTTGCTTTCTCTCTCTCTCTCTCTCTCTCTCAGTCAATAAACACATCCTTGGGTGAGGATTAAAAAGAAAATAAAATGTTGAAGGTTTCTTTTCTATCCTTTTCTCTATCAGTGGCTTTTCAAATTTGATTGTGTCCATTGGTCAAAGAATTTTTTGTTTTCAAATTGCTGACTCAACTTAGCAGCCTGAGTTGCTTTCATTAACATTAGAAATGTGGCTTAGCAATAAAGACGAGGTTGACTATTTTGTGGTTGATGGATGGAGCGAAATGGAACCCTTCAACTCTACTGATGAAGGCATCAGGCACCCTGGAAATTGGATATGGCTTAATAGCCCAAGAGAACAATTTTTACAACAGAATAGAATCTCGATCTTTTCCCCATGGATAAATCAGGTTTATCCAACTGAGAGTTGTGGAAATATGTTTCAGCTCAGAAATGTATAGCTAAAAATCCATAGACTGAGAGAACTTCCTGAAATGAGGTAGGAAAACAGATATTCTGAAAATAAGATCTCAGCATCAAAAAAGGCTCCAGGAAGAAAGACTAATTCAGCTTTACAGTCATCCTTGGAATATCATATTTAGCTGCTCCGGGGCAATGGTCGAGAACATGCTGGAGTAGCCCCAGCTGTAAGGAGACATTAAAAATGGGTTTCCTTTACCCCCAGCACAACAAAGTGGAGAGAGAAGTGTGTGGGAGAAGCTGAGATACATGAAGGCTATCTATCCTGGGTTAATTTTATAGTGAATTGATCTCAATCTATTAATTCAATATACTTAATACTAATTTGGGGGCACTTACTGGGTACTTGTACGTGCTTTTCATGTATTATTTTACCAAACCTTTACGACAACTCTCATAGATACATGAGTGCAGGCGAGGAACCTGAAGAACAGGTTAAATGACTTGCCCAACGACACACAATTACCAACAGCAACTCTGTTCTAACCCAAGCACTCCGACTTCACAGCTGGGGCTCCAAGCACTGTATTAAATAATTAGTGGGAAGCATACAAGAGAACAAACTCAAAACAGGCAAAGGTCTGTGGCAGAAAGGTCACAAATCATTACTGTGCAGTTCCATTACTTTTTTCTCGTTTGACCTTTACTGTCAGCTAACTCCCATGCATAAATTTGGGACATGTATTCATTTATCTCAACACTCTCATTTTTCCCCTCCAGAGCATGCGATATGTCTTTGTGTTCATGGTACATATAGTACTTAATATGACCAAAGGTTTTCCATTCGCTCTTAAATTCTTAATCTTTTGGTTTGCTGTGCTAAGTACTATCTACAGTGAATGGGCACTGAGTAGGAAGAAATCAATGTACTCTGTTTTCCCTCCTAAGTTCCCAAAGTCATTTAAGCACTGGGAAACACGTATGCAGACCATCTGGATGGTTTTGATGACTGCATTGGTAAGTGAATTAAGTACCTTCTTCAAATCTAATCTAATGAGTTATGTAATGGGAAATACATTGCTTGTCACATAACTGCTATATGCCTAGATTTTTACTAGGTCCTGTGAAAGGAATTGGACATATGAAACAGTCCTATAACTAAGAATTTTTCATAAATTGCTTTAATGATATTTCTATGCTTATAAGGTCTAATTAATTAATAATAAGGCCCACATTTTCACAAGTTCCAGAAATCTAAATGTTAAAGGAAGTATGTAATATTTTAAAAAATTTTATGAGGAGAGAAAGATTCCTTAGAAATCTGTAGATTAACATGCTCTTTTAAAAAGCAGCAATCAAGGCTTTTCCTAGAATCTTCATCACATTGTTTGTAACTTATAAGTGACCTCCCTTTGTGTTTTACCAAGTTCTCTTTTTAGGGCCTGAACTTGTTGCTTGGGGCAGTGATGAAATAAATGTTCTGATTTGCAGCTCACAGAGAATAAATCAGTGATAGTGGTTTTTTTTTTTTTTTAGAATAAACCAACAGTGATGAGAATGTCCTCTCTGTTCAAATCTATACTTTCCTGCTCTTTTGCAGGGAGAACCCTTCATGGGCCATTTTTGTGCCTATCCTCTTCGGAAACAATGTGGTGTCTGGAGATGATGAGAACTGCAAGACCCCAAGTCTCAGGCGCACAGATGGAAATGTAAACAGGAAGCCAGTGGGAAGTTAATTGTCTGGCATCTGGCACTGAGAGCCAGCAGAAGCAAACAAGCCATCTCCACTGCCTTCTGACAAGATAGGGCTTCCCCCTGAAGACAAAGGTGGAAGGCGGAGTCCCTCATTCTTATGCCTGCAACCAATGATTCATTGTTTAGTAGCTGCTGATGGCAGAAGGGGCCTCAATTACCCAGTGAATCTAGGACAGAAAAATATATAACATCCCTTGTATATCTCCAAATGCCACGAAAAGTGGAATTTTCCATTGTTACATCAAAATGGGCTTATATAATGAATGTTCTTTGGTTTTTCAAGCTTGTTTCTTTTTGCAACTTTACTATCTCAGCCTGTAGTCTTAAAACCACTACTACTTAATCTCTCTCTTTCTGAATTCTGTCCCTGGTTCAGGTAGAGGTCACTTGGCCTAGAGAAGAGATTGATTTCTCTTAGGAGAAGGCATGAAGAAATAGCATTAGCTATTATATTGTCATTCATCACAGAGGCAAAGACTTAAGTACAAAATTTGCTGATGTGTTTAGGGTAGACAGAGACCAGCCGTGGTTGGCAAATTGGACTCAGAATAGTCTTGCTACACTAGTTAACATACAGGAAAGTACAGTTTTATGGAAATAGGACTTTGGCACCCCTGTGGGATTGTTTCAAGTCAAGTGTTTGCTGACAACTGAACATCACTGTCTAGAGAGCTGGCATACATTGTCAGATGGGAAGCTGGGTATTGGGAGATAGGAAATTTGCTGGTTCAAACTACCAGCTGTATATATCAACTGTTGTCCAGGGCGAAAGGAGCTACTGACAAAGAAATCGTTTTCTGGTCCTGAAGTTTGATTGATTGGTTGATCAAGTTGGAAGCAAAAATTTGCTGCCAGTGGGGAGAAAGGGAAACGTGAAGTCCCAAACAAGTTTTGTTTAGGGCACTTAAAGGTTACTAAGCTATAGAATTAGATTTTTTTTCTTACTTCCCAACTAGTGGAAATACATTTATTAAGAACCATGGATTTGGATTCTAATTCCAGTATTATGATCTCATTGTATGATTAGGAAAAAGTGATGTGATGTCTCAGGCTTCCTTGTGTTTAAAGTGAGTAAATTAGATTAGATTAAAATCAGAGTCTTTCCCGTTGTAAAATGCAATTGTTCTAGCTTTTGCATTTTTGCAGCAGATTCATTACAGGCTTTGGCCATTAGAAAATATAGATTATTTTAAAATTGAACTCCCCATTTATTACACTATACTACTATTCCCAGACACCTGAAGTAACACCATTTGGGTAACAATATTTTTGTTGTTTTTTTCCCTAAAAGTTGGGTAAATAAATGTTTGTGGAGTAAGTGAAAAATAAATTCCTAACTTCAGCAACTTAATAGCTAAGTGCTTATGCGCTGAAAATGAAAACAAGGGAAGATGAATAGCATTTCGCCTCTGACTTTGGCATTTGTGACTTGCTAGGTTGGCAAAACGAGCACATCCTGAGTCAAAGTGAATTGAGAGTGACTGATTAATACCTTCTATGGCAAATGGCTTCCCCACGGTCAGAAGTTTGCAGTCAGCATCTATTGACACTTCATAATCCAGAAGGGCTTTGTCCATGATGAAGGCGTCTAGTTTCACCGGATCATTCCTATATTTAAGACCAAAAGAAGAAAAGCAAAAAACTGATTCATCAGTGGACAGGAAGTGTTAAGGCTGATAGCAGGCTTTGTTTAGGGGACAGAAACCTGGACACTCAGGGCAGCACAAGCTAGCTGCCGACTTGGCCTTGTTGACATCTCACTGACCTGTGGAGAGCAGACCAGGAGACACAGCCTCTGTTTTAGGAGAGCATGACCTCTTTCCAGTGGGTTTGCCTACCAGTTTCTTTATTACCTCTAAATCCAACAACAAAGCCAGGGAGACTCTGAATTGCATGGGAAGGTTCATTTCTCTTACATTAACCAAAGGACCTTTTTTGGGGGTGCTAGGCATTATATTTATTATTTTCCACACATTATGACTTGGAATGACCATGTAATAGGTTGTAGTATCCCATTTTCATAGATGAAGAGATTGAGGCTCAGAGACTTGAAGTAACTTGATCCAGGTTACATAGCTAGTTAAGTGGTGGAGTCAGGTGGGCTCATGCATCAGCTTTTGGAGATTCTTTCTTATTTCTTTTTGTCATGATCACTATCATGTTCTTCAGAGACAAAGCATTATTTCAGATTTAGGAGTAGATGTAAGAAAATGCAAATAAGAGAGCTAGTACTTTTGGGGGAAACAGAGTTAAGGTCTCTTCAAAGTCCATAGACAAGCACCCAATAAATCCAAGGGGAAACATCTGTCATAGGTCTTAGTAATCTGTTTTATTAATTTATCTCTATAGCTTCATGTCTCACTCCCATCCCAGGAGGAAGTTCTGGCAAGACTTATTTAAGGAGTTGTCCCTGGACTGTATCAGTGAATTGGTTGTGGGCTAGGTTTAAGATGCCAACAGATGCCTTATACACCCTTCATGAGTTCTCCCCATTTTTTTGGACAAAGGCACAGAGGCAGTCCAGAGGACAACTATACTGAGGAGCCAGCTGAGCTATCACTTACAAAGTGAGGCCAGGAAGAAGGAATTTCAAAGAGAATCACTTAAGGTATATGTAATGACTGTTGTTTTCAGTCACCTAAAATCCTTTTTTTGGATGGGTGCAGGACATACATCCATTTAAAAAAGACTTTCTGACCCTCAGGGTTATCCAAACAGCTTGTCAAAGAAAACATCCCTTCTCCAACCTACCTGGGCTCAGTCATTCCTCAGAGCCAACCAACAAGGCTATTGGAATTCAACATAGCCCATCAAAATCTAAAAGAGAAAGACACCTCTAGATACCTCTATGATTCTTCATGGGGCAGGATGTATATGGGGCAAAGACATGGATGACTTCGTCTGGGGTATACATGAACCCATTTTAAGTAGGTCAAGTTCTTTTCTTGGTGCCAGTGAACATTGCTTCCTTCTTCTCTTCAGGAAGTAAAATGGCCAGTTCACAATACATCCTCCTTTCCATGCAGTATTGGATTTAAGTTACACTGAGGTCTATGTTTAACTTTAACGAAAATGACAGAACACCTCCTAGTTCCACAGCTGTGGGAAACTTCAGAAAGGGTTGGGGATGTGAATTGTCTCATGGGAGCTGATGATGAGGAACCTTAATGGAATCTTGGCAATAAAATCAAAATTGAACTGAAACGTGTTTCCCCAATCAAAGTTTTACTGCTTTAGCAGCAGAATGTACCTTGGGAGCTGTATAGCAACAAGTTACCATTTACCAATACTCTGCAAATATTTGTAGTTGCAATAACAATAGAAAAAAATGGGGTTCAGTTTTCCTAACAAGTAATTCCTGGGGTCCATTCTCAGTAGAATCCTTAAATAACTATGCCTGATTTCAGACTGCACAGGGCAGCTCGCAGACTCCCCTGGGGCCCTGAGTCACTGGTGAAGATGGGTGAGATCCAGGTATAAAATAGCTTCTAGGCAGACTGAGTCATCCTTACAGTTGGCAGAGCCTGCAGTTGTTTCTCCCACAATGACTTGGGATTTTTGAGAGGCCATTTCATAATAAAGAAAATGCACAACACAGACATACATAAACAGACTAAAATAAATGAATAATTTAATAGGGATTTCTTTTTGGAAAGCATCAACTCAGAAAGCAGGGCTCTAAGTAAGTAGGACTAAAACAAAGGAAATTTTGATAGGAGCAGGAAGGGACAGGTTTAATACAGGAACCTTTCAGGTACAGAGCACTCCAGGGTTGTGTCCTGTAGGTGAAGGTGTTGGGATATCGGGCGGGGGGGGGTAACATGAGGACTGTGGTTGCTCAGAGTGGTGGTTAAGAGCTTAGGCAGTGACTAGGTCAAAAGTGGAGAGAGAAGCCCAGAGATTAGAAGGGAGAAGACATTACGGTAAGCTCTGCCTGTATTCCAATTTCACCTCAATTAGCGAATCACCTAGGAAGCTTGTTAAAATGAAGATTGTGGGATGAGTCCCGAGGTTCTGCATTTCTCACATCTCAGGTGCTAACAGGAACGTGAATGTTGCTGGGACATGGACTATTCTTTGAATATCTAGCACCTACTTTTCTGTTATGGCTCCTAGACCAGCCTACAGCAATGGTTGGGTTATAGAGATCTGATTCTAGCTAGTCCTGAGTCTCCACTTGCTAGCTGTCTCATCATGAACGAGTTGCTTCTTCAAGGCTTCAACTTTTTCATCTGCACCTGCTTTTCTAACTACTTCTCCTCTCCAGGCTAGAGTGGGGTCAACTCTGTGCACTGGGGCCTTCTTAGGTGAAGCTCCCAGAATCATGAATACCCTGAGGTGGGTGAAGCTGGGGAGAGCAGAATGGCCCTTCGCACCCCTTTCTTACGGAAGAACCTGGTATGTCAGCTATTGCTACCTCACTGGGAGCCACTGCTATCTCCCTGACATCTTCCTGTCTCTCTCAGCCATGCATTTGCCTGAAGAAGAGAATATAGAAAGAGCATGGAGGCCAAGGAGCACTAAACTGTGTGTCTGTGAGGGACTCTAATGCTTTAGTGTTCTTGCAAAATTAAAAGTACCATTTCATAGTATTTGAGCACCCTATGTACTTTGTAAATCTGAGAGCATAAGGCTTCCTCTCTAACTCTAGTTATAAGTCCGTAAGATCATTTTAGGGGCCTGTTACTAGAACTGTTGAGAAACACAGAACTAGCCATTGTGTCCCATGAAGCTATTTATTTTTCCTTTTGTTTCAAAGAATTTAAGGTGGCAGGTTCTGCTGTCCATTGGGAAGATTACTGTGGTTGACCATAGGGACACCAGTTTTCTGGAGCTGTGCAAGTCTGGTGGTTTGAATGTATGTCATTGTCCTGAGACCAGTAGGCAGGAGGGAGAGGACTGCTCATTCTTATGCTGGATACTTGTCAGGAATCATTCTTCCCCTTTTCTCAGGCCAACCAGGTAAGCAAGTCCATAGATGCACCATCCTCCTTTGCATTCTGTCTCACTGAATTATAATCTCCAATATCCTGCCAAGGAGATGGGAGTGCTTCTCATGAATACATTTCTTTTTCCTTTTTTTTTTTTTTAGAGAGAGGGATGCATCAATGTGTGGTTGCCTCTCATGTGCCCCTACTAGGGACCTGGCCTGCAACCCAGGCATGTGCCCTGATTGGGAATCAAACCAGTGACCCCTTGGTTCACAGGCCAGTGCTCAGTCCACTGAGCCACACCAGCCAGGTCTGCTTCTCATAAATTCTAATGAGGATACAGGCATGGGGTCATTGTTTTTTTATCTTATTTCCTTTCTATAGGAGATCTCTAAGAAAACTTCCACTTCTTTGTGAAAAGAGGAGACAGTCCACCGGCTTAGAGGTTCACTGTGAAGGAAGAAAGGGTTGCTTTGGGACACTTTATCCTCTGGCCACATTCCCTGAGTGTTTGATCATTTCTGGACCATTGTTTTCTCAAGTAAAGTCAAGCCAACATTTACTTTCCCCACCATCTGCTACACTAATGACCCCACTGGCACTTAGAGCAAGTCTATTGCCAAGTTGGCACTATGCAGGTAACTAGTAATTTAGGTCACAGAAGTAAATGCTCACTATTCCATACTGGGTCTCACACAGTGTGAGGTCTTACTGAACATACAGTAGGGATATTTAGCTGTCATTAAAAAAAAACAACAACACTGAATCAGAGAGAACTTTTCAGACCCAAGAGGTTGATACTCACTTCAGAAACTCCACTCCATTGGGGGTGGCTGGTACATTATACCTTCTCATGTACTCATGCATCTCTGGGAAGCTTTGCCTCACATAATCTTCAGCACTGCTTTCCCGGACAGTTCCAAAGCGGAAGCCTTGGGATGGATGATGGAGCTATGAGGGAGAAAAAGAAATGTCCTTAATATAAATTAGTCTTAGAATTTTCTTCTTCCATCACTCTTAAAAAATTTAGTAATGTCAAACTTTATGCCACATGTAGGCATAGACGTAAATATGCACATATAAATGTGCAGACGTAGGGAGATGCTCTTTCATGCCCTAGCTTTCACACCAGTAATTGTTCTGTCTTTCAGAAGCAAAGAAACAGAAAACAATTTTCTACTTTCTGTTGAGAACTTGTCACAATTCTTTAGAGCTGCATAAATTGGTATGTGGAGTCAACCTCATTATTATAAATTGCATATCAGACATAGCACATGGTTAAGGTAATAAATTAAAGATTGTGCTCCTCCTTGGTTAGAATTTGACAAAGTCCATCTTAAAACTTTGCATCCTGAGATTGAAATATACCTGACCCAAAGCAATGACTATATCTTTTTATGTTTATCTGTCTTTATGCTATACCACAGACCCTCAAATAATGTTTTGTTCATGCCTTTTCATTATAATGCTTATGAGATGCCAAAGAAACTTAACTCTTGATTGTATCAATTAGCCTATGGAAAAACATTTTTGTTAACATTGTTTTGCCACAGTTCTGAGAACATGTCGATGAATTAGGTGAGGACTTACTGTATTACATTTCAAGTCTGTAGAATTTGTTTTTCGTGTTACTATGAAATGATCTCTTTCCTTCAAGTATTATCCAGTGCTGAGTCATGCTGTATGTTTGCTCACATGGAATAGTACATAAGACAACTAGGAGCAATGGAGGAGAAGGGGAGTGGGAACAGACCCAGTGATATCCTAGTTCTCCAGGGGCGACACCTCCCAGTGAGGGGCGGTGCACTGTGCATACTACAGAGACTTTCTGTCACTAGGACAGTCGAGAGAGCACATGAAACATGTTTACCCCTGAAAGGTACACACAAGTGTTAATGTGGAAACTAGAATTAGATTATTTCAAATATAAGAATGAACTGGGGTTGGGCCATATCATGAAAATAGTAGAATATCCTGTAATCAGCAGTATTTTTGAGATGATGCTTCTCCACAACTGTTATAGTAAAGTTTTTGTTCTGCTTCATGTTAAGATATTTGATATCATTGGTTCTGAATCCCTGGGGACAGGAATCCATAGATGAGCTTCATGGAATTTATAAAGTTCCTAAAATTGTAGGCAACATTTAATGTCAATATGTGTTGGTAATTTTCCTCTATGGGGAGATAGCAGAGAGGCTTTTTTTTTTTAATAATTAGGTTTTCAAGTGGTTTACAAGCCAAAAGTGTTCAGAACTCACTGAATATGGTAACAAATAACTTAAATTTGAAGATGAATTAGTGGGGACACACACAAATGTCTAGCAATGTGGCAATGGTTAAATTATGTGACACATTTATAAAATGCAATGCAATGCATAAGTATGTTTGTGAAACATACTTAACAAAGCAAGATGAATGCTCATATAACAAATAAATAAAAAGCTTTTGTAGGGTACTGTCAAAATCAGATATGTGTAGTTATTATAAATGCTGTGTTCCCCCACATAGATCACATCTGAGACACCCATACACCTGAAGGAAAATGTATCAAGCAATGTCTGTCCCACTGGTGGTGAATACAGGTATGCTTGTTTACTTATACATGGTCTACAGAAATATGCCTTATGATTTTAAGTAGAAAAAAACTTTATTTTACAATAAGCAAAATAAATCACTCACTAATTTATTCAGAATTCATCGAGGACTTAACTGCATGCAGCTCTCAGAGTTACTGGGGCCACAGAGGTAAATACCTGCAATTATTGCCACATAGGAACTCGCCACCTGGTTGTTCATGATATTTCATTCATTTGTTTATCACAGGTACCTCAGGTCCCTATTGTGGACACTTGGTACCTGACAGGTGCTCTAAACATGTTTATTGAATTACTTTTATTTTGGGAACCACTCCGCCTGGTTTCAGGAATTGTAACTACTTCCCATGACTAAGGGTGAGTGAGCAACCGCCGGAATGCGAGCCACAAGGAGACAAAGCTTGTCTCTGGTAGCAAATGCTGCCTCTGCTTCCTCCCCCTGCTCCCAAAGCATGGTTGGTTAGCCCATGAGGGGTACGACTCCTCAGAGAAGGGGCAACCTAAGCCACACACTATCACTTGGGAGGCCATCATGGAAGGACTAGCTGGGCTGCAACAAAGAAGGAGTGATGAACCCTCGCCCCCAGCTATTTTAACATAGCCCGAGTCCCCATGTCCTCTGGGAGAAGCACTTCCTGGCTCTAATCCACTTAAGCCTGAAAACCTGTGATGGGGGAGGTGGTGCAGCCTCTTGCCTTGCTAGAGAAGGATCTGGGGTGATTGGGTATAAGAAAGAATTCCTAAAAGTCCCGTGAAGCCTGCTTTGCTAAGAGTGTTTTCATTCATATGATAAGGGTTTGAGCAGGAAATGAGTATGTCTCCCAAAGTTTCTGCAACCCCTTTTCCTGACACTGACTCAGACTAAACCCTCAGATTTCTTTGAAATGTTATCTACCCTTTGATCCTTACCGCTTATATTCTTGTGTATTACAACCCAATAAAAGCCATTAAGGAAGGGGCTCCAGGCCTTTTTCCTCTGAGAAATTGGCCACTTCTCCTCCCCAAGCAGATCATGTTTTGGTAGTGTTACTTCCATCTGTGGCGGACAGGGGTACTTGTGGGCAAAGTCATCCCCACACTTTCACACTGTTCTTTCATCCTGTCTTTACTCATTGAACTTTCATTCATCCTTCTACTCTCAGCTGAGTCATCCCTTCCCTGACCTGCAGTCCGTGCCAGATCACCCTTTCACAAAGTCCTTATCACACATACACTTTTCTTTCATAAAACTTAACACAGTAGCACTTTTTAAATTTAATTGTGTAATAGTTTAATATTGAGACATTTAGCTTCTTCAGTGGACTGGAAGTTCATTGTAAACTATTGAACTAACTTGAATTGCAATGACTTTCATCATGTAGTTGCTCGATAAAATGCTTGATGAATAACTGACCGATAACTATTCTCTGAACCCAGAGGAGGTGAAAGCTTTGTCATCCCACTTAGTACAAATGGGGCTAAAAACACAGCCTACACCTAAAGCTTTTGAAATGAACCCTCCTTTTCATGTAAAAGGGTTTTAGGTCAGTGATTAAATATTTCTTTGGTCTCAGATATGAAAGTCATTCCTTTTAGAAGTCCATTTTCTCACATTATGCTATGGCAGTACCTTCACAGTCTACAATTGTTTCTAGGAAAACTCTGGGCCTGTTTTTCCTGCTGAGTGTAGCAGTACATCAGTCTTTCCCCAGACACTGGCCGGAGTCGTGAGCCAGCAGGCCCAGGCTCAGAATTCCAGGGGAGGACCGGTTCTCTCCCTCTGGGTGCCTTTCAGCTGCCTTCACTCATGGGTTCCCACGTCTGCCTTGCATGGCTCTAATGCCTGGGAAGAAACAGTTTTGAGGTTTTGAGAAGGAAAAGGTTTTTAAGGATTAACATAAATAACCTAACTCCAGGAGAGAAAGCATTTTGTTAGGCTGATAGGGACCCTGCTCTGACTTGAGATGTTTTACAATGCTGCCACCTCTCCGGTCCTCACCACCATCATTTCTGCTCCTGCACATTGCCTGTCTTCCCCTCCCACCCAGTCAGAGTAATCTTGTTAGAGCCCATATATGACCATGTCCCTCACTTGCTTAACACCTATTAATGGCTCCCCACTGCTCTTGGAATTAAATTGAAACATTTTTTCATGTTCCCCAAGGTTCAGCATCATCTTGCTCCTGTCTTCTTCTCTCCAGCCTTATCTCCCCACTCTCCCTGGGACCCTCTAATCTTTAGCCAGTTCTCTCAGTTCTTCCAATGTATATATTTTTCAATGGATCAGAGCCCTTCCCCATAGTCTTCATGTAGCTAATTCTTAAAGTCACTCCTCAGAGAACTCTGAGCTGACTTGCATTAGACCCTGCAATTTCACACAGTATTGATAACACTTGCAATGATCAATATTTGTTAAATGCTAGCTTGTGAGTTTCCATGAAGGCAGAGCCCTTGCCTACCTCATTTGTATGGTCATAAGTTCTGAACACATAGCTGCTATTACTGTCATCATCATCATTGTCATCACCATGCAATAAATACAGTGCTCAGCACATAGTAGATGCTTGAGAAATACTGGTTTAATAAGTTATCACTATTAACACAAAATGCTCTTAGGTTAGACACATTACCAGTTTGATACTTTTGTCATACTTCCTGTTGTCTGTCCCCTTAAAGATTAATTTTTCCCTTTAATTCTTATCTTAATTCATTCAAAACAATAGGCCTTTTTTATTTGTGTGTGAGCTTCTAATGGAAAAAAAACAATGGGCCGCCCAGCAGTCACAGAATGATAGAAGTAGAAAAGGGATCAAAGAAGCGATTGATGTCACCCTGTGGACTAACATAGCCTATCCTGTGTGTCCATGTGGTGTGTCATTCAAGCAGCCAGGGACATCAGAAAAGCCTGAATTGAGGAGGGGGGATAAAAGTATACAAAGAGCAAAAGCATTTGAGCTGGATTACAGCCATTACCAGGAAGTCCCAGAGAGAAAAGAATTTCTTTAAAATCTTAGCTAAATATTTTACCCGCTCTTCCAATTCTGTTTATGTTTGCATCAGCTTCTTCAGGCCTTGGGGAAATATGTGTGGTTAAACTATCTATTTGTGTGTGAATTGTTCAGTATTAATGGAATACTGAACTTTACCCAGAGCACCTGCATAGGGAATAGTCAGATAAACATTTAAAAGACAGCAGAGAAAAGGCTCAAAACAAAATAGAAGCAAACTCAAGAAATAATCAAGCTAAGCTTGTACGTCTAAGGTAACTGTGATGCTTTAGATTAAAAAACAACCCTAATATCGAATGCACTCATTTAAGGTCTACATCTGTCTTTATCTGAGATTGATACTTAAATAATAAATGCAGTATAGCACTGG